CCTGTGGGGTCTGGGGGGGTTCCTGGGGGTTCTCGGGGGGTTTTGGGGGTTCTCGGGGGGTTTTGGGGGTCTGTGACCGGCCCCGGCCCCCCCCAGGTACCCCAATGTGAACGTGCAGAACTTCACCACGAGCTGGCGGGACGGGCTGGCCTTCTGCGCCCTCATCCACCGGCACCGGTGTGGGGCAGGGGGGGCTGTGGATGATGGGGACAGGGAGTTATGGGTTATGGGTCAGTGGGTCGGGGTCAGTGGGCAGTGGGGCAGTGGTCAGTGGGTCAGGGATCAGTGGCCGTGGGTCAGGGTCCGTGCTCAGGTGTCCGGTCACCCCCAGGCTGGCTGTAGGTCAGTACTCAGTGGTCAGTGCTCAGGGTCAGTGGTCAGTGGGTCAGGGATCAGTGGCCGTGGGTCAGGGTCCGTGCTCAGGTGTCCGGTCACCCCCAGGCTGGCTGTAGGTCAGTACTCAGTGGTCAGTGCTCAGGGTCAGTGGTCAGTGGGTCAGGGATCAGTGGCCGTGGGTCAGGGTCCGTGCTCAGGTGTCCGGTCACCCCCAGGCTGGCTGTAGGTCAGTACTCAGTGGTCAGTGCTCAGGGTCAGTGGTCAGTGGGTCAGGGTCAGTGGTCAGTGGGTCAGTGGTCAGTGGGTCAGGGATCAGTGGCCGTGGGTCAGGGTCAGTGCTCAGGTGTCCGGTCACCCCCAGGCTGGCTGTAGGTCAGTACTCAGTGGTCAGTGCTCAGGGTCAGTGATCAGTGGGTCAGTGGTCAGTGGGTTTCAGGGTCTGTGGTCAGTGGGTCAGTGTTCAGGGTCTGTGGTCAGTGGGTCAGTGGGTCAGTGCTCAGGGTCAGTGTTCAGGGTCTGTGGTCAGTGGGTCAGGGTCAGTGGGTCAGGGTCAGTGGTCAGTGGGTCAGGGTCAGTGGGTCAGGGTCAGTGGCCATAGGTCAGTAGCCATGGCTCAGGGTCAGTGGTCATCTGTCCGGTCATCCCCAGGCCAGAGCTGCTGGACGTGGGGTCTCTGCGCGGGGCCAACGCCCTCCACAACCTGCAGAGCGCCTTCGCCGTGGCCGAGCGGGAGCTGGGGGTCACTCGGCTGCTGGACCCCGAGGGTGAGGGGCTGCGGGGGCTGGGGGGGTTGGGGGTCCCCGAGGGGGGATTTGGGGGTCTGACCCCCCCCGTGCCCCCCAGATGTGGCCGTGGAGCAGCCGGACGAGCGGTCAGTGCTGACCTACGTGGCCGCCCTCTACCACCACTTCTCCAGGATGAAGGCGCTGGCCGTGGAGGGAAAACGCGTCGGGAAGGTCCGGGATGGACACGGGGTGGACAGATGGACATGGGGGGGACACGGGATGGACAGATGGTGTTGGGGGATGGGGATGGGCGGGGGGATGGGGGGGGGGGGACAGGGAGG